GTTTTTGCTCAGTCCTATATTATTCACAAGGTTTAAACAGATTAAAAAGGAACCAAAAGGCTGGTTTCAGTAACATTTTATCATTTTTATTTGGTTTCTGATTTAATTTAAGATTTTGTATCAAAGAGCTGCAGAAACACTTGAATAGTTTTAGTTTTCTGCTGTTTTTGGGTTAATTGTGTAAAAGATCAAGTTAAAGTTTAACTTTCTGAGATGTAGTTCAACAGATACACGCTAACTCCAAGTAAATCAAACTTTTGTGAAGCACATTCAYCTCTGTACAGAACAAAGTACTCAGTGTGAATATTTCATTAAGATCGGGAGTTAGCGTGCGTTGTTTAAGTGTTTATTTTTTTGAGCAGTGTAAATCAAATTAAGAGCTCAAATGTTTATAAAGTTAATAGATGACTTGAGTCACATAAGTGAGCAAAGCTTTAAATCATGGTAAATACTAAAAATGTGAATCTTTCTGGGTTTTTGGTTCAGTTTGTTTTGTTTCTCAACATAAGTTTAGTCTGAAAATAAACAATTTAAATTAAATGAAAACATATTAACTGTTTATGAGCAAATGTTCAGTTTTAAATGCAGACAGTAAAGTGTAATTCTCTTTATTGCATCTAAACAAATCATTAATTTGTCTTTTAAAGTTTTGCAACAAGAATCAGTCTCAGCTGAATCAGACATAAACATGTTTGATTATAAGACGATGTGTTGCTTCTGGTTCCACAGAGGTGTGTTACTCTGCAGACATGAGATGACAGCAGATGATGGGTTTTAACCAGTTATTCTGTTGGTTGGAAGTAAAACCTCTGTTTTACAGATAAATGAGGTTGTCTCCGTTTTAAACGGTCTCTGTAGTTTTCTCCCGCCTCGATGTGGGCGGGGTCATAAAAGCGGGCTCACCTCCAGAAAGTAAACAAATGAAGTTCTGACGGTCCTCGCTGAGTCCGTTTGGACCGAACCGTTCTGATTTCTGTCATCGTCCATCAGGCAGAGAATAATCTGCACCAAACTTTTACTGCCTCAGTGTTTACATTTTAATAAATGTGTTTTTACATTTTAACTCATTTCGTCACCAAGTGAAGCAAAAAAACAAAAAAAAAAAGATGTAAGTTTTGTGGATTTTTGTAAAATCTAAACATTCTCTGTAGTTTTTGATTGTTGCTGTTTGGTTTATCTGCAGGAAGGAAGGACTGGTCTCATTTATATTAACTCTTTTTTTTTAGCCCGAGGTTTAGTTTAATTTTATTTAATTTAATTTATTTATTTTTGAGTTTTATTGTTTTGACAAAGAGCCTGAATTTAATTAAGAGTTTTATAAATCTTGTTTCTGTTTTTTCAGGCAAAAGAGATTCTGACCAAAGAGTCCAACGTTCAGGAGGTGAGTCCAAAACCAAACAAATAAAAGAAACTGTGATGAAGCTGTTGTGTAATAACTGAAAGTTAATCAATTTTTATGTTTATCCTTTTTTTATATAACATGTTTAAATACTTTTTTAGAAAGTTGTTCCTTCAGTTTGTTGCGACACATTCATGATTAGGGCTGCCACAAACGGTTATTTTTATAATCTATTAATCACCGATAATTTTTTCGATTAGTCGACTAATCGGATCATACATTAATTGAATATAAAACATATATAAAATAAATAATATATATATAAAAGAGCTTATCACGTCAGAATGCAGCTGCTATTATATAACCATGGTTAGATTTTAGCTACAGTGGTTTGCAAAAGTATTCATACCCCTTGAACTTTTCCATATTTTGTCACATTACAACCACAAACATAAATATTGCATGTTCTCTCCGTGCATGTGTGGGTTCTCTCCGGGTACTCCTGCTTCCTCCCACAGACCAAAAACATGACTGTTAGGT